AGATTGCGAGTCGAGCGCCCCTAACCACTTAGCCATGCCGGGCCCAACTAATCATTGAAGACACAATACTGATAAATCTAAAATTTATAGTTTACCAGTACACACTTGAAGATCTCACATACAAGTGTGGTACCATCCTTCGGCACAAAACAGCATGATTTCCGCTTATCACTAAACAGATTTATCTGAGAACACGCCGACACAGTCAAGTCATTCTACCTTAGATACAACACGTAAAGAAGACAGAAGCTTGAGAACAGTAGGTGATTCTAAAAAAATGGTCACGTTTTCAAATGGTGGAACTATGAATGATTTATCAAGCACTGCAGGAAATATATATATATATATATACATACACGTGATACAAATAACAGATACATTTACGTATTTATCATGCTAAAAAGTGTGGTTATAAAAATATACATGTTTTGTGTTTCGTATATAAGAAATTAAAATCTATTTTAAAAGAAACTGAAATTTGCTGGATTTTTCTCACAATAAGCGATTATGTTTATAAGTTGGTAGATGTTAAAAGTTACGAAAATATTTATGTTTTATATCTAACTAACGTCTGTATTACATAAAAACAGTTGTACCTGTACTTCATTCAGCCATTAAATCACGTATTCGAATTGTAGTTAAACACATTCCATGTTTTGTAACCAATAGTACAGTAAACAACCAGATATTATAAAGAAAACCTACACTTACAATTTTATACATTATGTATGTTTACAAAGCATTTCAGAATTACTACAACGAGTAAGCTTTGTAAATTACTCTCTGTTATAAGTCTGAAGGATAACTAAATTGCATATTTTATAAGCATTCAAAACATCATCTAAGCCTAACTGAAACATTTTTATCATCTGACGATTTGGTTGTTTACACTTTGACAAGCTTTTCAGGAAGATACTGGAGAAAATAATGGATTGTTAATGATCCTCCGAAACTAATCCTCCGATTGAATATTAGTTAAAGATTTGACGTTAAAATATTTGTGAATATCAATACGTCAGATTATACTTTTATAGTGTTAATAAAGGCTTCTAAAGACAAAATATGCGAAAAGTAGATTTTTTTATAGTAAAAGTAAGATATGTCAGAGATGTGCCTACATCGGGATTCATGTGAACGCCATGTTCGAATATTATAGTCTTACTTACGAATTATCTGTTTTGGCCAATTTTAGCTTGGTTATCTTGTTTCATTATTATACCTTATAGCTTTACGTGTGCGTCAATACTGACTTTACTTTGTATCAAAATGACCTTTTTTTTTCTGTACGTTTTCTGGAACAGAATACATGAATACTGTTTAGACTAACCTTCCAAACAGAGGTTGTTGCGAAGTTCTGCAATTTTCTACAAACTCTACTGGTGCAGCTATTATTTTCATTGTTACGAAAGCCTTCGAAATATTTTATTCGTTAATTGCTAGACACTTTGACTAAAACAAAATATTCTTTGGGAAGAAAAAAATATAAAAAGTTCAAATTTAACTATTTTTGTTAAATGAAAAGGCTCTGCATGTTGTTCTAAAAAGACTGAGGAACAAATTTACTTGTCTCATTAAAGACAGATAATGGTTAAGATTAAGTCTTGTTTTCTAGAATATCATAACTGTTTCAGTGGTTAGTCGAATTAACAAAACTATGTTTCATTGACATTAATAGGTTAGTCTATTTAGTTTCTTACGTATATAAATGTAATTTTGATTGTAAACAAAAGTGTTTGATTATGGAATATTACATAACTCAGCGAAACGAAATACAGTCATTAAACTAGCTTCAATTTCGAGATGAAATAGTAAGTGTACTTGAACTATACGATACATATAAGATGCATTTATATTCTATTTACGCCACATGCGTAAATTTTATATCAAGAGAAAAAACCAAAACCAAAAACAATCACTATATACACATACAACCGAATCAGTTAAGAATAATAAAAATGTTAAATTCATAATTGATTGTTCTATTATACAAATATTTTTGTTATCTATGAACTAAATAATGTAACATGCAGTAGTTAATTTTCATTAGTTCAATACAAATGGATCCGATATAGTTAAATTTATGAGTAAAATTGTATAGTATAGGGACATTACAATAATTCATCTATACTATGAATTCTGGGAAATACCTTTATAGTATGTTTTTACACATTTTGTTTAGAGCGCTTGTCCTATTTGAAAAATGTAATTAATTGGTAATTAGAATGAAGTAGCTAAATATTTTTCATTGTTAACCTCATCTTTTTCTATCTAAAATTAACCTGTTAATCCGGACAGAGAAAGTGGTAGAAATACACAGGAAACTACTTTATCATCTTAAGTATTTAAGTACATCATATAACTAGATCGTTTAATGTAAATATAACTATGTGTTCATTTACATTCAAACACAACGAAGAAATGTCATTTCCCAGATTCTTGCGTGGAAAAACAAAGCTCACCAGTTGCTGCTTTATGTTGAATCTTGTAAGCAGTTATCGGACTGTTTCCACTGTATAACTGAGACCATGTCAAAGTGACGATTCTACTTCCAGTGCTTGTTGCTAAAATATTGGTAGGGCTGTCCGGGGGTTCTAGAAAAACATTAATTCACTTACAGTTTGAAAAACAAATAACTTTCACAGTCTTAAAAAGTGGAAAAACAAAAGTTGAGATCACGAATTCTTATAGTTAGATTAAAGCCCCAATTAAGCCTATATAGCTGTAATCGAACCTTAGAGAAGGATTAATTAAGAAACATTTAGAGTAATGTATGATAAGCATACATTCTAAAATATATGTTCTTTCTTTGTTCATTGTCGTTTAATTGCAGTTTTAATTAGTGAACAATAAAGGAAGAAATTAAATTTAATCTGGTTGATAATGAACATTAGTTTGCTATTAACAGTACATACCGAATTTAAATTGAAGATTAATTACAGTATCTGTACTTTTAATTAACTTTAAATTTGATAGTACATACAAAATTTTCTATTTTAACACAACTTTGATGTTATTTATAGTATTCTGACTTTTAAACAAAAATTTTCTTTTTAAATCAAAAGTCAATTACACGTTAAAAGCAGGTTTTTTAAAAACTGTGTTGGAAATTAACTGTGATTGTCTTACCTTGAACAATAACTTGAATCTTAGTTTCGTCACTGCCAAAGCTGTTTTTAGCAAGACAAGTAAAGATGACAGAATCATGTCTGTCAAGTGAATGGATTGTCATGTGCGATGTTAGCATTCCATGTTCCTCGTCTCGTTCTTCAGTGACTTCGTATCTGAAATAAAGCAGTAAGCAACAACTCCCCAAGATTCATTTGTTCTGATTTATTTTAAGCAACATCTCGTGAAAGCGGATAGTCTTTGTTTGGGTCTTAATCTCATGGGATTTTTTTAGACATGATTTTTTATCACTCAAATTACTTCGTGTGTCCACGACTTTGTTGACTACAGGGTACCTAATAACATATGGAGTCATACAAAAAATAAGTCTAAGCAAAAATACCATCAATGTCACAATCTAGTAATTACTCTGGTGTCCCCTGTGTATTTTACATAGCAAATTAGTGATCTTACTCGATTTCTCGTTACTTCGTTTACACTGAATGTTGTAACAAGAAAAAAATCATAGAATTACTCAAAATGTTAGTTACAGTATAAAATAAAAAGTCGGTCGTTTGAGGGTTAATCACAAAATAAAACATCCATTATATTAAATGATGCATCTCATTATTTTGAACGTTATCGTGTTATTTATTTTATCATCAGGAACGGAAATTTGGAAATCTGCCAAAAGTCTTGATTTGCATTTGTATATGAGCTATATAACCCACCAATTTCCCCGAGAAGCCGTCAAATTGAACTTAAATAGCTTACGAAAACAATAAAGACATCGTTACTGCTAGAAGTATATGATAAATTCCTTTTCAGATAGTGCTGGCTTTTGTTCGTTGCTGTACAGCGGAGGGATAATGGATAAGACATGCCTCTTTTCTCAAAGACAAATGACTTATAATTTTATATTTTTTCACTTTAATTGAAAATATTTTTATATATTTATAAGAAAGAACAAATTACCATTAGAAAGCACGAAATGTTAAAGATTAATGTTGCACTCGAAGAATAATTTAGAATAAATAATTATGTGTTTGTGACTGACTAAACACGGTGACTCCAAAGTATTTGATTTATTATACACTATTAATTTTAATGGAGCCAGGAGTGGCCTAGTAATAAACGTGTGGGGCTACATATCGAACGATCTTCGCCTCCACTAAACACACTGCAATTTCAGCTGTGGGTGAGTTATAAGAGTGACAATCAATCCTATTCTTCGAGTTAAACTCCAGATTAAGCTCTTTTAACAGTGGGTACTACAGACTGGTAGCCTTGTCTTTGGTCACTAGTTCAAAATGACGGACAAGATACCATTCAGGTTAAAATACCAATACCACTCAATTTTAAATTATGAATAAAGATAGGCTTCACTATTAAAATGATTTTGCATCATGTTTCAGATTTACATTTCCTGTTTGTGTGTGTGTAAATACCTTATGTAAGTTTACAGTTGAAATTCATCATTTAGTCAAAATGTGGTTCGTGGGCTGAAATATACCCGGATGTTTTACAACTCTAACAAATCAGTAATAGAAGTTACCATTTTCTGAAAATAATGGCATGCTTTAACCAGGCTTTTTATATAGTTGCTACCTACGAACATGCCCCTCGGTGGCTCAAAGGTAAGTCTGAAGGCTTAAACACTAAAAACCGGATTTCGATATTCGTGGTGGAGGCACAGCACAGGCAGTCCATTATGTAGCTTTCCACTTAACAATAAACAAACAAAAACCTACGAACGTTTGGACACATTTAAAGTTCTATTTTTCTGCATCCGATGCACAAGTTAAATATCTAGAAGCTATATAATTTCCAGTTATTATGCTTTCAAAGCTACTTTTCAAGCCTAGCACACAATATTGTTGATATGTATTTTTCAGCTGTTTACTCAGTGTAGAAAGAATGTAAATTCAACGTGTATACTTAAACTGCAGGCCAAATGTTAGTTGAAAGTATTGTGCCGTTATTATGAGTTTTAAAGCTGGTTGTAACAGCGAATGAGCACAGTGTCATGAGCTTTTAAGTTTTTGTCAGGGAATAGATGAACACAAGTGTCATATAGTTATAGTTGTCTTGATATAGAAAAGAAACTGCAGTAAGGAAAAGATAATCTGTACTCTGAAACTCAAAGAAATGTGCATGGTGGCCTTACAGACAGTGAATCTGTACTCTCAAACTCATAGAAATGTGCATGGTGGATTTACAGACAGTGAATCTGTACTCTCAAACTCAGAAATGTGTATGGTAGACTTAAAGACCGTGAGTCTGTACTCTCAAACTCATAAAAATGTGCATGGTGGACTTATAAACAGTGAATCTGTACTCCCAAACTCGCGTCAAGAGTATGATGAAAGAAGAGAAGAACAGTAAACACACTTTCAAACTGGTATGTTGTATAACATGAACGAAGACTTAGTAATATTTGTTATTTGTAGTTATTATTATCAATCAGATGTTCACGCTAATATGTTTATAAATATATTATTTTAGTAACTTTTTATGTGTAACATTTAAATAAGGGGGTTAATAAAAGTGGGAACTCATATCTGAAAATTAACGTTTCATTAATAACATTTCTGATTATGGCTGTTTATAAAAGACTGTTACGTAATGATAAAACAAATATATAATATTTCATACATTGGCATAGTATAGTGTTATATTATGATTGGATTAATTCTACTTAGCATCTAGCAAAATCAAAACCAAAGGAACTTTTTCTTCCTTTTGTTGTTAAGTGCAAAGCTACACAGTGGGATATCCGCGCTTTGTTTATTATGTAGAATTGAATCCCAGATCTGCCCAAAAAACAAGTATTTTTACAGTCAAAATAAGATAATAAAATATAAAAATATTCTTACCATATATTTATTTTCTGATAAAATATACATTTATTGAAATGATATTATTACTTTCAAAAATATTTCACGAGAAAAAAATATTAGTAATGAACATACGCCCTCTTATGGACAAACATTTGACAGCGTTGCAGACACATTTGCAACTTACCTAGCATTAGTTGCAAAATTAAGCGGTTGGTTGTCTTTAGACCAGGAGATCTGTAAAGGGTTCTCACCGTGTGCCTCACACTGAAGTTTTGCTGTTTCACCCTTTTTCCAGATATGCGACTGAAACGATCTTTTGAAGTGAGCGGCAACTGCGTAATAAAGACTTTTGTTTATAAAAACAAAACCTGATTATGCAAACAACACAACTTGGATATGTAATAACGTCAGATATTTCAATTACGTCGTAATAACTTCCAAATAAATTTGGCTGAGAAATGTATTTCTAAGTTTCAAATAAAATAAGAGTTTAAGCCTAACATTTTACAAATGCATTTAATCTAAGTGTACATATCTAAAAAAAAATTCATATATAAAAATCGTAGGCAAGTTTTAAATCCCGATTTTCTTGTTTGTGAAATATTTATGGACTATTTAAAAAAATACGGATGAAACTCCAGTATTATTGTGAATGTTTAAGAAGCATAATTAAGCAGAGAATAAACGTACCATGAACTTTCACAGCAACAACCTTTGTTAATCCAGCACCAATTCCATTGGTGGCCTGACACATGTAAAACTTGCTATCTTCTACGTCCACATCTCTTATCACTAGAGAACCGTTCTCCAACGTCTGAATATGAGAATTACTTGATATAGTTTTGAAGTTGTGTAGCGCAGAGCCTGGAAAATTAATGCACTATTAGGTTGGCTAAGCTCTAACAATGGATATAGAATCAATGAGCCATTTTACATTGATTCCTAGTAATCTATGTATAATTATTTCTATTAAGCATTCTTATAGTATTAACTCCATATTTCTCTGTTACATTTCATGACCTTCTTTTGAAAATCATACCACGCTACCACCCGAACTTAAAATTAATTTAACGGAAAGAGAAATTAAAGTACATCACATATAAAATGCTGGTAAATAATATAACTCTTAATTACGAATAACTAATTTTTTTTTCAAAACATTTTTTAAGGTCTTTGATGAATAATAAAAAGAAATTTTTATTCCACTAATTTATTTAAAAAATAATATATTGGAAATTAATAACAAATAACATTCTTACAATATTGAAAACAGTGTTTCTTGTTCTAATACTCGACGTTGAGTACTTTAAATAAAATTAAGCAAATTAAAATAACGAAAATTGTATCATTTAGTAAACTGACACATTTTTTATAATAAAAAAATCTAATTTGTGAATGTACTTTCAACAAGGAAGTCAATTTAAATCAGTGATCGTATAGGCATTGAGGTCTATTTAAAATCTGTTACGTAGTAAATATACGTATCTAATCAACACTATAACAAAAAAAGCAGTTTGAAAGGTTGCTTGAAAATGAGAAGAAATCTTTACCGCCTATTGTCGTACAATAACGTTTTTTTGTGGAGTATGACTCTCACATTTCATAAATGACACACGTGTTTTTCAATGAGTCCATAAACGGTGGCAACAGGAATTTTCATCAAAGAATAATATATGTTCTGGAGTCACCATTTATATCTATGTTTTATAAGTGGTTTAGAATGAAACTAGTGTTTGTTCTTTTTCTATATTAAATAGAGATTAAATACTAATGTTTCACAATCGACATTTCATTAGTAGTGCACGGGTCTAAGTAAAGTCCCTCGATGTATTTTACCATCCTCACAAGTTTTACTAAACCGATTAAACAGTTAAGGATTTCAAAACAATTCCCAAATGCCAGGATGAAACCGGAGTTATGGTGTGTTAATAATAGTAAAGCATCGAAATTAATCTATAAACAATAGAAAAATGTTTGGCAAATATTCACAGCTTGGTTATATTTCTCAATTAATTAACACGTTCGAAAGAAGAGCAATAAATTACAATAAACTGAATTCACAGAAATCTTTGTCAATGTAATAGTTATCTATATTTTATAATATATATAGTCAAAAAATGACTAGTAAACGTATACGAAAGTCTCTGTCAGTTTATTTAATAGAAATTTACGTATATTATACCATCAGATATTTCCCACCAGGTACGTGGATGTGGATATCCCTCCGCTTGACAATCCATTACAACAGCATCTCCAAAAACGACAGACTTATCAGTTGGTGCGATTTTCCACTTTGGCGGTACTGCATAAGGTTAAAAACATTATTCTCAAAATAATACAAAATGAAGCGTATATTTAGAAAATATCAATTCAACAAAACTTTCATGTTTAAATCTTAATTTTCTATTTATTTCCGTTGCTTTGAACTAGATTTCCGGTTAATAAATGATTAACTCTAGCAAGTTTCATCTTGTTTTTTTTCACTTCAATCTAAGTTATGGCTAACTGAAGATATCAACTTAGATAATCTTAATTTGGTGACCCGGCATGGCCAGGTGGTTAGGGAACTCGATTCGCAATCCCTGCCCCATCAAAACATGCTCGCCCTTGCAGTCGTGGGAACGTTATAATGTGACGGTCAATCCCACTATTCGTTGGTAAAAGA